TCAGATTCTTCAGCAACCGCTTGCTTCTCGGGCTGCATTGACAAGGCAATGGCTTGCTGTAACTGCTCGTTCTCAACATCATCCCCTGCATCATCTACATCGTTCGCCCCGTTCATCGGAACGTTCTCCCAGTCTTCCTCTTCTTCGTTATCATCCGCAAGGAACAACGAGTCTGGATCCTGGTTGACCGGGGTAGCCCTTTGCGGTTTAGACTGTACTGGCTTCTCTTTCCTCGACTTGTAAAGGTTTCTGCGTCGTGTCGCAAGCTCGTTCGCGATGAACTCACGGCCCTCCTTCTCTTGAACGCTCAAGCCCCCCTTGGGCTTTGGCAGCCTGTTCAGGCCCTCAATAGGAACGTCCTCGAAGTCTTCATCGTCCTCCCATTCTTGTTCTTCTTCAGCAGGACGCTCTGGTAGGTCCACGTTGATCGGCTTGTGAGCTTTGCCCTCTTCCTTGTTCAGCACAACTCCGAGGGCCCAACCGCCTTCTACTCCGTCGTTCTTGACGAGAACATACTCCCTATCTCTCTCGCCCGCAACGCGATTGAATCCGCCTGCGCCAAATGCATCGTCGTTCATCCCGTTGAGATTCATCAATCGCTGCGTAAGTTCGTTACGTTCGCGCACACGCTCGATTTGGAACTTGGAGAAAGCCATCCTGTCTGGAAACATTGCATCAAGCTGTTCTTTTGAGTGTCCCATCCTGAGTCGACTTCGTAGCCTGGCTGCGTTCAAGATATTGTACCTATCAGCCGGAGGCAGGCTCTGGAAGAAATGACCATCGAAGTCAATCTTGGAGAAGTCATAGACATTGATATCTTCGCCTCTGTCAAATTGACGTGCGTACTCCTCCAGCTCTTCGAGCGACATGACTCTGGGATCATTCGCAGCCCCCATTTCTGACATGGACTTGCCCAGGTCCGGAAGGTGATATTGGTCCTTCTTCTTGAAGGTGCGATTTTCTGTTCGCTCCTGGGGCGTCTGCAGAAGCTCCTCCGCATAGACCAGATTATCGGGTATCTCTTCCTCCTGTTGCGGTGGCTCCTCCCTTGGGTGCTTTGCAGCTTCTTTCCTCCTCTTCTCTTCCTCCTCAGCAGCCCTCTGCATTTGTATAGCCAGCAACTTTCCAGCTGTACGAACCGCATCTTCTCGTCTACCTTCACGTCGCGACTTGCGGTTGTTGATGGTTTGTCGCTTCAGCGCCGGTGCGCCGCCATCGAAGACGAAGACGGGCTTGATGCCGATGAAGAGAAGCTTGCATACTCGGCGAAAGAAACCGACGATATGGCTGTTCCGCAAAGCGTTTCCTTCCTTGTCGCGCACGGCCTTGAGGAACTGGTATATCCAGATGGAGGCATCGACGGCGAGGCGCTTCTTGTTCAGCGTTTCGATCTTGATCGGCCGCGCGCAGGGCTGCAGAACGGTCCAGAGGCCAGTGACACCCATGGCGCTCTTCTGGGGGCGTTTTCCATCTGTTTGGAGGGATGGTAGTGGTCGTCGAGTTAATTTCTGAAAGGCGTAGGCTGCCGTGTGATCGCGCGTTCAGAGCGTGTTCTCGATGACGACATGCCAAGCCTGCCAAACGCGACTATCACGTGCGTAAGCGCTAGCGTCGTCGCGAGAGCATCCGGACATATGCGAGATATAAGTCTCAAGAAAAGATAGAAGAACATTATGAGGCAAGGGGATTGATGATGCTAGATCATGCCTTCGTACACTGTCTACGTTCTATACGACTTTCGCGGCCTCAAGAAGTGTGTCATAAGCTGAAGATGAATAACTTTGCCATTAATATTCTTACATTCTAATCTAGGTATAAGGTGAAGGAAGGCAATCTATAAACCCTGACCCTCGAGACCAAGACCCACTCCAACGTTTTGCACTTCGTCTCGGTCTTCCTCGTCGTCACCGAAATCTGCTGCCTCGCCATGATCCTCGGCGTCCTTCATACCAGCATCGGTGTCGCCAAACATGCCTCCTTTGTGCTGCTGTCTGCGCCTTGATACATCTTGACTTCCCTCGGCATCATCCGAGTCGTCGAAAACTCTACTCTGCTTTCTTCCCGTAGGGACGTCTATAATGTCGCCGCTTGGTCGAAATTCGAACATCGAATTAGGACGGTCGTGACTGAATGGCGAATCGCGGGGACGAGCTCTGAGGGCTGTAGAGTGTGTTGTGGCTTGTGGCGACATAGCGGACCACCATCCGCTCAATCGTTTTCCCAACGATGGACTGTCGGGGGCGTCTGGCTTCTCGGCAGTGTTTGCTAGATCAACTGGCGCATTCTTCTTCTTACGACCGAATGTAAGGCCAAGGGGGAGATTCACTGGCGAGCTAGGCCGCGATGGTCCTGCAGTGGAGGAGGACTCTGATTCTGAAGCTGGGTATGGAGCCCCACCGTCAGGGCCATCGCTCCCTGTGCGCTTGAGCAAGCTACGAAGGTCTTCTTCACTGAGAGTGTTGACAATATCGTCATCGCGTGCCCCACGAGGTCTGAATCTCCGTCTTCCTTCCTGAATGGCATATTCCAACTTGGCACGATTCGCGATGAATTTCAGCTTTGGGAAAGCCGACTGTTGGCCAACATGTATCATGCGTGCTAGTCGCTCTGGGGTTGGGTCCGTGAGGATATATAAAAAGTCTGAAGGTATGGACTTGGGCCAGATGGTAATGGTCCCACTGAAGCGTTGTAGCCAGAGTTCACTCCAGTCCTGGCCTAGTGGTCGCGGTAGAAGCTCGAGATGGCGAAGCACCTTTAGCCATTTGTTGAGATCGAGCTTGAGATACTGGATCAATTGATTAGCATGCGTATTGAGACTCCGTTGTGTGGTTGACGTACTTGCTCTGTGGCGGAACCAAGGAAACCACCTCTCCATCCGCGTCCACGGCGATGGGTGACAGGTCGACCAACCGAGCCACGGGATGAGAAGAAGAAGATATTGATATGAGGGTTGACCTGGCTGACGATTGAAAATCGGACGTTAAAGTGGAGGTTCAACGCTTTTAGTGGAATGTCCGTCCGGAGACTTCCATCCTTCCACTTGTGTCCAAAAGAGTAGGGTGAAAGAGTGCCGTCCTTGTTCTTTTTCATGAGGACCACTGGGTTGAGAATTCCAGGCACGGCAGCAGATGCCAAAACTGCTGACCAGACAACACAGTCTGGAGCCGTGATGTAGTTGGCTAAGATGGTCGGAGAGTGGGGGTCGGAGGGCACGCAAGAGACGTTCAGTATACGTCCAGTCCTTTGATATGCTTCCTTGAACGTCAAACTGCCACGAGTCATCCAGGCGCACTTCTTTGCCCAATCGACGCTGTCGAATCTCGCTCCAGTCTTGTACCATCTCTTTGACCATGTAAGAATGCCTTCGTGGCAAGCCGTGATGCGATGGGCCAGAGCGGGTACCAGTAGTTTCTTGAGTTCGTCGTCGGTCCTCGTGCATAGCAGTGCAGCTACGAGAGCTCCACCAGATGTACCAGTGATGACTTCGGGCAGCAATTCAGCATCCATGAGAGCCTTGGCCACACCGAAGTGGTAGTATGCAAATGTCGCTCCTCCAGACAGACATAGCGCAGTACGACCGAAGTTGCTGCCGAGATGTTTGAACAGGGCGCGCTTGTTCTCTGCATCGAGCTGTGAGGTTTGCAGGAGGAAAGTGAGCGACGTCTCGGCTTCGTCGACGAATTTCTGGACGAGGTCTTTGGTTCCGTAGTATGTCTCGCTGTACAGTCGGGGGTTCTCGAAGCCTACAAAGTTGTTCTTCATAGAGGCTAAATGCGACGTTAGATGTGTTCTGCGGCGTGGGCAAGACAGGACGCTTACCTTCTAGGAGCGCACGAAGGTCCTCGACAGCCGTGTGTTGGCCTTGAGAGGCTTTTGATCCTGGCCCGCTCTTCTCTTCTGCTTCGGCCTTTTCCCGCAGTTTGACCATCTGCTGGTGTACTCTTGCAATCGTCTTGCTGTCGTAGTAGGCATAGTCGGCCTTCTCCTTCCACGACTCGTTGCCCAGATATGCGTCGAGCTCCTTTGCGCCCTCAATCCACTCTTGGTAGGATCGCGCATCCTGCAGCCGCTGCCTGAGTCTCTGCCGTGTGCCTCGCCATGTGATCCAGTGCTCGTATAGGTATATGTACAGGCGAGTGAAGACGTAGGCTATGCTGAGGAAGAACAGCCACCCCAGCACGACCAGGAGCAGCGGCCACTTGAGCAGCACATAGACGAAGCCTTCGCGCGTCTCGTCCTTGCCGCGTCGCGGGGGCGCCTTGCTCTTCTTGCGCCGCTTGACGCGCTGGTGGACCGGCCGCCAGTCGTTTTGGGCGGAGATGAAGGTTCGATCGGGCGGCAGAGCCGTGAGGTCTTCGGTGGATGGTGAGTTCTCAGGCGCAGCGAGGGCTTTCTCGAATTCGATAAAATGGTCTTCTTCGACAAAGTCGTTCGCGTAGTCGGGCAACAGGGTGAAGTCGAAGCCCGTCGAGGAATATGGCTCAGGGCCATCCGTCTTCTTGTCTACGTCAGCCATGAGGGGGAGAGGCGTCGGGTGTAAATCGCATCGTCGAGACGGTTAGGAGAGACGACTCAGGTGATGTCAAATGGGCGAGTTGGCATGTGAGGCTCGAAGCTTCGGGTGCTAGCCAGTACGTCACAGGGCCCAGGCCGCTCGGAACCCTTCCGCCGGTAATGCAGAATTGTGCATCAACACCACGTCTCGCCGACACCAAGCCCTTGCCGACCTGCGAGGCATGCGACCTCGATGCAGAACACTCCAAGCCGCCGTCCGATCGCGAATCCTTCCGCCCCCGCAATGGAGGCCTCGCCGCTGTCTGATGACGCTGGCCATCGAGACGTCTTGCGATGATACCTCGGTCGCCATAGTGGAAAAAGAGACTCGGCACGGCCGGACGACAGCGCAGTTGCACTTCCACAAGAAAGTGACGTCGGACAATGCCGTCTATCAGGGCGTTCACCCGCTGGTGTCCCTTCTGTCGCACCAAGAGAACCTGGCCATGCTTCTCCATGAAGCTATGCGCTCTCTGCCGATGCGGGATGGAGAGATTCCTCTAGAAGATGCGCAAACGACCACAGTCGATCTCGCGACACGAAAGCTGCCTGATTTTGTGTCCGTCACTCGTGGGCCAGGCATGCGCAGTAATCTCTTCACGGGTCTTGATACCGCCAAGGGACTCGCTGTAGCATGGCAGGTACTGCGCGAGCTTCTCTCTGCGGACTTGCTGCTGATAGCGATACTAGAAACCTCTCGTCGGAGTCCACCACATGCAGGCTCATGCGCTTACGCCACGTATGGTCAACGCCCTCGAAGCCCACACCGAGCCTGAACACAGCGCCATCTACGATTCGACGTCGATACAAACCGCGCCAAAGTTTCCGTTTCTATCCGTCCTCGCCTCAGGTGGTCATACACTGCTCATACACTCGGCGTCTTTGACGGACCACCGCGTGCTGGGTTCTACAAATGACATTGCTGTGGGAGAGTGCTTGGACAAGATCGCTCGTGTAGTGCTGCCTACAGAGTTACTAGAAACATCAAAGAGCACCATGTATGGAGCGCTCCTCGAGGCATTTTCGTTGCCCGATCGCTCCCGCAAGTCAATATCTGGCGACGCATCAACCCATGTAACGAAGCCACCAAATTATTCAGCCAAGACATACTTGGATGCTCATGGATACTTATATGATTGGTACGAAGTTCCGTTGAATCATGAAGACGCCATGCAGAAGAGCGCGACAAAATGGGGCTGGGCACTCAATCGGCCCCTGACTAAATCAGGTGGAGGTGTCAAGATCAACAGTCTTGAGCTGAGCTTTTCAGGTATTACGACAATGGTTGAGCGCATCGTTCGGTTTGGCATGGATCCGGTCACTAGAAAATTCAACAAAGTCGAGCGAACGGCGGCAGACGTTAGCCTTGACGAGCGCATGGATCTTGCACGCGAGACCATGCGCGCAGCTTTTGAGCATGTCGCTTCCCGAGTAGTTCTAGGCTTGCAGACTCAAGAAGATACTCTAGCCGTGCCTGCGGTTGTCATGGCTGGTGGCGTGGCTGCCAACTCGTTTCTCCGGCACATGTAAGTCTGCCTGCAGAAGCGAGAACACATAATTTCGTCGACTGGGAGCTAACGGCTGTAAGACTTGCGAAGACGCTTTGCGCCCATGGTTATCCGGATGTTGAGTTGCATTTTCCACCGCCCAAGTTCTGCACCGACAATGCTGCAATGATAGGCTGGGCTGGTCTTGAGATGTATGAAGCGGGTCACGTCTCCCCACTCAGCATAAGAGCAATACGCAAGTGGCCTCTGGACAACCTGTTGGATCCCCCGGCGGACGGGTAAAACTTTGACGTTACATACCACGTGTATGCAACACAAATTGTGTGAGCATTTCTAGACACCTCGCCAAAACACAAAATATCAGCTGGTGCCTGCATTGGGTTCTTCATCGGCCAACCATGCATCTATCAAGATCACGTCGGCTACCGGCAGGAAAGTATGGCTGGCTTCAAGCAGATGCCATACTGGCTGGAAAATTGCCAAGGACGTTATCAGTACGAGTACCTACAAGACTGATCTCGTCTTGTCTAAACATAGATGATCTGGAGCGTAGATGGACTGCATGGCATCCTGGAGTAAGTCGCTACCCGCTTTCACCTTTCCCAATGCGAGTGTTGAAATCCTCGCCTGCCATTTTAGTCTGGACAAGAAAGCGCCAAGCATGTCCGCCTCCAGACCGGGCGAGGACGGTATACAGATAACGTTTTGAATACGTTGGGCGATGTAGAGCTGGATCCGTCTTATATGAAGCTGCAAGGGCATTGCGTTAGCGACCCCGGACTTCTCGGTTGTTCGCATGCATGTCACGATCACACCAAATATCCAGCAATTAGCCAAACAACGTGCACTTTAATTCTGCCGACGGTCCCACGTTTCGCCAAATCAACGCTCTATAGAGTACGATTTATCGCTATATTTAGGCATTTCCAGGTCATGCCACAGCTGTACCCGACGGCTATCTGGATATATTGCGCTGCGAGATCGAAAGCACGACCTAGAGCCCGGAACCACAACTATCAAGCATCGCTAATGCAATGTCTGGAGTATCGCACACGTGCAAGCGATGTTCCGTACGGCACGATGGTGTTTAGGCTCGTATCTTTCATTTACAGACAGTATCGTCGCTTGTGCGGTCAGGCCGGCCAGAATGGTGAGCCGAGCGAAGTCTATAACTCTGCCGTACATTCGCGAAGATTGAGTTGATGCTGAGAGGTCCTTATAACTTGTCAATCAATATTTCGTGAGACTGCTGATTGAACATGGCTCCTGCAAGGAACACTGTGCTGGCACTGCTGGGTCTTGCCATTAGGTAGGTCACGTCTACTAAGCTGGCAAGCTGTCACTAACCTTCTTATAGCATTCGCGCAGCACCTGCTGGCTTACAACATCGCCAGATTGGCGTTCTTCCACCCAAACAGAGTGTCTCTTGGGACACTGGCAACTCAGAACCCACCGAAGAGCCACAAGAGCCCGTTGTCCCATCCAAGCCAACTGATGAGATTAGCCTTGGAACACCATCGGGCTGGATCAGCTGGGAAACCACCGGCCCAGCTCCCACAGATGCTCCAGAAGAACCTGAGTACCCGCCTCCAGCCAAGCCTACTGATCAATTCAGTATTGGTACGCCGTCCGGCTGGATCAGCTGGGAAACGAGCGGGCCTGCGCCCACACCTGCTCCCCAAGAACCCGACTACCCTCCTCCTTCTAAGCCGACGGATCAATTTAGCATCGGTAAACCATCCTTCTGGGTGAGCTGGGCCACTGACGGGCCCGAACCAACTCCTGAACCGGAAGAGCCTGAGGAGCCTGCTTACCCCCCACCTAAGCCTAGCGATCAGTTCAGCATCGGAAAACCATCTTACAGTATTACCTGGGACGGAGATGGTCCAGGCGCCTCTTCAACGCCTACGCCAGAACCGACACCTACACCGGAACCAACGCCAACGCCAAAGCCAACTTCGAAGTACTCCTCCATCGTATCTCTTCCCCCTATCTGGTCGAACTCCAGTATGACTAGCTCCGCTTCCGTCACTAGTTACAAGCCTTCAGTGTCTTCTTCTACCAAGTCTGCTTCATCGAGTAAGATTTCATCTACCAAGAAACCCGGCTATCCTCCATGGAACCCATGGCCACCGAAACCAACGACAATGAAGTCTACCGCAAAGTCCACTATGACGTCTACGAAGAAGCCAACTTCGACACCAAAGCCGTCGACAACTGCTAAGCCAACACCTTCCCCAGCTCCAGTCCCCTCAACAACCAAGAGCGCTATCATCAGCCTCTCTCCGCCTAAGTTCAGCGTGAGCTGGGATTTGAACAAGAGAATCGCAAAGCCAACTTCTATGACTACAAAGAAGCCTAAGACGAGTAAGACTATGATGACAAAGACTACCACGAAGAGGAGCACTTCAAAGAGCACGTCAAAGTCTACCTCCAAGTCATCATCAAAGTCATCTTCAGTAGCTACAACAACGCCTAAGCCTACATATACACCCAAGCCTACGCCTACACCAACGCCATCCCCCACTCCAACACCCACTCCAACACCGACGCCCAGTCCTCCTCCCTCTTCCGCAACCCCAAGTCCTCCCTCTACTTCCACCTCCACACGTTCAGCAGACATCACCGTAGGTCCACCCAACTACAGCGTAACCTGGGACTACGACGAGCCCGAACCAACAGCCCCTCCCTCAGAAGAAGAGCCCTACCCCTCCGACCCAGAAGGACCCTTCCCCGAGGAGCCATTTCCCGAAGAGCCCTTCCCAGAAGACCCAGAAGATGACTTCCCGCCCCCCTCCCAACCAACCCAAGCAAACAGCATCGGCCTGAACCCGCCCACCGTAACCGTAATCTGGGGCAAAAAGCGCCAAGAAGACGATGATGCCTTACCCACATCTTCACCTGACCTCCCTACAGACAGCGAAGACGACGACGGCCCCGTAGAAATCCCCGCTGCACCCGCACCAACCCAACCCAACAGTGTGGGCCTCAACCCCCCAACCTACACCGTCATCTGGGGTAAAGAAAGGAAACGCGCTGCTGACGCTGCGCCGGAACCTACTGCCGCCCCAGCCCCCGCTGTAGCTGTAGCAGAACGAGAAGCAGTGCCAGCGCCGTAGAACAGTATAGGGCTGGAGTTTCCCTGGCAGAGTATCTCGTGGCCGAAGCCTGAGCCGCCGACGTATATCTCGTGGGGGAAGAGGGGGCCTGTTGCGGAGCCTACGGCTGTGCCGGGGAGGATGGAGACGGTTTATGTTAGGGGGAGGGGGGCTGAGGCTACGGCTTGAGCTTGAGCTTGAGCTTGAGAAAGTGGTGTGTTACGGAGGAAGGGAGATGGTATGAGAGCTTGTTGATGGATTGATGCGCGGGGGTGCGTGTGTGAGTGCATGAGTGGGAAATCGGTGGATGTAGCATACATACCCTCGTTCATGTGTTTTCTTGGTATCCCAAATTCATCTTCTTTCCTCAAGACTTCCTTCAGCTCGCTATGGTGCAACTTGATCATTATTCTCTCTACTCCCATATTGGATGTACTTCTTTTTGTTTCCAATGCCGCAAAACTTCACCACAGAAAAGCCAGACCCACAGGAACACGCAAAAGTCAAGGAGTATCATAGACATTACTTGCTTACATAAATCAAGGCAGAAGCACCCAAAGCTATTGTACAAAATCCTAATTTCAATGCTCAAACCGGCAAATTGAACCACGGCAATAACTACGACCTGCGCCTAATCGCAGCCAGTTTCATGAAGACTGTGTTAGTGTCTACGCCCCCTGGCTACGCACCTGAAGCTTCTTAGGCTTCTTCTTTGCCTTTGGCTCTTCAGATGTCGTGGATCCATCTGGCTTCTCATCTTTCTGCGCAGGAGCGTTCTTCTTATCCGCCGCATCACCATCTTTCTTAAGTGCCTGTTTAGTCGATTCCGTTTTCTTCAACTCTGGCTTCTTTGGTGCATCCTTCTCCTCCGCCGTGTCGGCCTTCTTAGGTTGTTGCGCTTCTTTAGGCTTTGGTTTCGTGTCATCTGCCTTGTCCTTCTGGTTCAGCTTCTTCGGTGCTTTCTTCGCTTTACCATAAGCGACGGATGAGGCGAGATCTTCGCCTTCTTGGACGTCTTCGACCATGAAGTTGGCTGCCATGCAGCGTCCACCGTTCTGCTTGCCCACGTCCATGGGGCAGGCGCTGAATACAATGACTACGTCTCGCTCGGCGCGGAAGCGGACGTGGCAGCGTTTCTTGCCCTTTGGCTCATCGACGCTGAGTGTCACGCCCTTTGTGCCTGCGCCGTCGCTGTGGGATGTACCTTCAGATTGCAGAGGCGCGTTCATGAAGAGATGGAGAGGTGTCGGTGCGATGTTGACGGAGATGTCTGCGCCAACTGCTTTTGGGCCTTTCAGTCCTGCCGTCTCGTTGATCTCCTTGAGTGCGAGGACGAGGTTCTCCGCACAGCTACCATGCTCCGCTGGTTTATCGACACCGAGAGCAGCGTATTGATTCGCGTCGCACGCCGCCGTCAGTGTATCGTGAGCACCTGGCGAGGTGTCTTCGACGAGAGTAACGATCGGGTTGCGCAAATTGGTCAATAGCTCGTCATCGACTTCAGGTACGAGTTTGTGCGAGGCGGCGCGCGTGTGGGGAAGAGAGAGGTACTCCATGGGAGGTTGCTCAGAGTTCGAAGGATTCGTCGAAGCGTAGGCGGAGTATACAGCGTAAGCTGAGGATGCGTACCCTGAACCGGTTGCAGCTACACTGTGTTAGTACGGATTCTTACAACGTAGTGTCGCATCCTTTGACTTACCGGCAATAGTTCCAGCACCCACAGGTGTCTTCGAGAAGTCGTACAACTGCTCCGCATAGCTCTTGTTCGGATCGCGGTTATGGCTCGACTTGAACGCGCTCACGACGGATTTCGAGTCTGGCACTTCGACATTCGGTACGTAGCTAGAGAAGCTCTTTCCGGTCGGCAAGTACGAAGACCACTTCTTGGTGTTCTCCTCATTCTGCTTCTTCTCCTGTTCGGGACTAGGTTTCTGCTCTGCTTCCTGCTTGCTCGCTCCACCTTTGCTGCGGTACGGGATAGAAGGGAGGTATGACGCCCATGTGCGCTTGTTGGGCTGCTTTGACGATGAATCTGTGCTTTCAGTCGTCTTCTCGTTGTTGGGTGTATCGGGAGCCTGCTCGGGCGGGTCCTCGGCAGCTTCTTGCTTTGAGTCCTCAGTCTTTTCTTCGGTAGACTGCGTCTCTTTACCGTTGTCGTTACCATCTGCCTCCTTCTTCGGCTCCTTCGCCCCATCATCTTCTCCTTTTGTCGCCTCTGTAGCTTTCTCTCCTTCTTCCTCGACAGCCTTCTTCATCTGCTCTGCTTCCTTCTTGAGTTGTTCGTCGTCCAGTTCCTTTCCTTCACCCTCCTCGCCGTCTCCATCGTCAGGCGGAGGTCCCAGACTAAACGCCCACATACTGATTACCTGCTTTCCGTAAGTGTTGATGACCTTGATTGTCCGGCCTCTGGGCACAAAAGTTGCAACGCCGTGGCGCGCAGGTATCGTTTGTAGTTCACCAGACATATCTTCGGTCGTATTGAACTCGTGCTGGTCTTCTTTGCCTTTGACCTTCTTCTTGCGCTGCTTCTCGACGGCTGATAATACTGAGATGAGTGCAATGCCAGCGAGAGCGCGACGAGAGGGGACTTGAGGCGCCGTGTTAACGGCTTGTATGCGCTAGTAGCGCAAGCAGAGAAACAGGATAGATGGATAATTGGTAGGCGGCCGTTAGTGTATCTGGCTGCCGGACGTTGACTTCAACAACGAGTAGTGAGGTATGGAGCGTCTACCATATTCACGGATCGGTGACGTACGTGGTGCACATCATCGCGCTTTGCAGCGCGCGATTCGTCCAGAACGTCGGCGGCGAGCATGGAACCCCATGTGCAACGTCCCGCGCGATCACCTTGCTAAGATCGCGGATGACGCAGCGTGGTGGAACCCTGTTTTGAGATGGGAAAAGCAACGGACGGGACGCGGTTGCGGTTGCCCCAGAGCTCGCTTACGCTTGTAGGTTTGCAGTAATCGCCCGCCGTCAAGTGCTAGCCCTATACGCGCTGCTCATGTTCACTATCATTATGTGCGCTTCCTCGATGCCTGTGAAATAATGCGGCTTTCTCCAATCCCTACAGCGGTAAGGTCTATGGCATGTTTGTCGAAGCGCCGTTACAAGCGTACCTAGGTACTCGCGCTTCGCGATCTTTAGCGTAATGACAACATAAAGTGATGATCATATTGCACTATTGCTCAGACACGATCATCATGGTATCCTGTACTTGACCGAAAGTATGGTTCTGTTCTATTTTCGTGTGTGACGGTACTTGGGTATCTGTTTGACGTTTGCGGCACAGTGCAGAAAGCTGCATGTTCAGAAGACGTGTCTGGATGCCACAGGCAGAAAAATCATGCTGTACTACACCAGGCGCATACTACATGTATGCGAATGCACTGTACGACCCCGCATTGAAGGCGCGTAATCTCTCAAAATATGTATAGCAGAATGCCTCCAACATGTACCTACCTAGGTCGCTAGGCACTTCAGAGGTATTCAGAAAGTGCGAAGATGGGTGATCCATCAGAGTCATGTTCCTTTGAGGAGTAAGTACGTAATACCAGTCACTTAACGTGGTGACTGACAGTGTATAGTCTCATCCAATCGAAGCTGTTCACCTTCTACATCGGCAAGGAGAAGAAAGCATTCGTTGTGCACTCTAAAGCGGTCGCCGCGACCTCATGGCATTTTCACGCACTTGTGAACAATGGCATGGTACAGTCGCAAGAAAGGTCCGTAGAGTATCCGGACATGGAGCCGGATGACTTTGCTCGATTTGTCGAGTACTCATATCGTTAGTAATTAACTATGTACGAATAGCATGTGAGACAAACACTGACTTCGTACACGCATATTTAGGTTACGATTACACTGCACCGCCTTGGACCCTGGATGAGGGCGCAGTGAAGAAGGACGATTTCGATGGGGCTGCCTACGATGATGAGGTCCCACCGGCAGATGACTGGGAAGTTTCACCAGACGGAGAACCGGAAGTAGTTCTATGCGGTGAGGAAGTCTCGGATTCAGACTTCAACCAAGCAACTGGTAGATTGCGCCAACGCTTCCGCCAGCGCGAATACCTCATGTTGCAAGAGCCTAAGACCATAATGCTTGAACGCTTTCAGCCAACAGAGAACTCCGCGGCAGAACAAGATTTCATGCCTATCTTCTTAGCGCACGCACGTCTCTATACCTTCGCCTGCATGCGTCTCATCGACCCTCTCAAGCGCCTAGCTCTACACAAGCTCCACCAAACCCTCCTCAAGTTCAAGCTCTACGATCGACGAGTTGGTGATGTGGTTGAATTGGCCAGATACGCATATGACAACGGCGAGGACAGAAAGCCTGATGGAACCATAGAAGATCTCAGAAAGCTGGTCGTGGAGTACATAGCCTGTGAAGTGTCGACCATCGGGAAGCATGAAGCGTTTGCTCCTCTGTTGCAAGAGGGCGGAGAGTTTGTGGTAGACTTCTGGCGTATCATCGCTAAGGAGAATCTGTCTTTGTAGAGGAGGTTTAAATGGCAGTAGAACTAGTCATCTCTTTTGTCTGCAAATGCGAAACCTTCTCGTGAGCGTCTTGTCTTCTATGCTACGGAAGCCTTGTCGGTGATAATTCCATGTATTTCTGGTCTCGAACGCTTATTCTCAAAGCCGTCAATCTAGCATTCCCCAGTAATGTTGCGGCAGGGGGTAAATTGGCCGTTGCTGTACATCGTCCAAGCAGATGGCATAATCCCGGGGGGATGCGAGTGCCTGCCTGGATTTTGTCGCACACTTGGACCCCCTTCGACGCCTCAGTATGTGCAGCCTCAAACAATAGCGACGGCTCTGTGTGTTTGCATGATTGTCCTTTCCATGCAATCGCTCAGGGTGCCGTCATGACAAACGCTGTCATAGCTTTCACCGCGTCACCATCATGCGCGCGCAACAGCTCCGTAGCCTTCGGCTTTGTAAGTTCAAGTTCGGAGACCTGTTCGTCCGACTGTCAGTCTATGCCCAGTGATTCCAACATGTCTGCACATCCATCTCTTTGCGCATCTATTCCAAGGTGAACGTACCAGCAGGTTAACATCGGCTGCCTCGATCTTAACATTCTTCTTCTCGCCCTCCTTCTTGTCCTTTACATTCAGCCCCTTCATCGCCTTGTCTAGTGCCTTGCCATCCACTTCTTTCTTCGGCCCATTCTCGCCTTCTTGGGGCGCGTCGAGGGTGGAGAGGGCGGCGGCGGCTTTGCGGTCATCGGCTGTGCTCGTGGGTGCGTGCGGGTCGGCGGCGCCTTCTTGGACGGTGGAGGGTTGGGGCTCGGCCATTGTGGATGTCGCGAGTAGAGTGATACAATTTTGAAGGCTGACAGAGCGCAGAGGGGGTATAGAGGGCTTGTATAGGCGACGGAAGATGGAGAGACAATGACGACAGTGGATTGGAGAGCTGATGGTTGTGGGGTAGCTAAGGATTATGGAAATGTGGCCAATGGGAAAAGAGAGTGGCCGCCATTGGTTGACTTTCTCGAGTTATGCACGCTTCTAATTCCTACATTCTTGCACAAAACCTCGCATCAGGCAGGAACATAGATCTTACACACAAATACCAACGCAGAAGCGGCGATATACTCGCTACACACCTATCAGCATACTCACGGTAAGTTTGCTGTGTTACGTCATGAAGTATTGCGCACGCAGTCCGCTTTTCGTTGCAGATTTTGTACCTTGAGTCATGTGTTTGCGTCCTTTGGTCACGTCTCCTTGCAGGCGAACCCTTGCCGAACTGCCATATTAACAAGTGACTCAAAGGTGATCTTCCGCGTCGCAACTAGACAGCCCTGAACTAGTCAAGAAGTGTACCTAGGCACATCAACTGGAAGAGAACACATTATGGACAACGAAGGGCACGCAAAATTAACCGACTACGTTTCCCAATTCATGGCAGCAACCAGTGGCCAAACACAATCGCAACCAACTCCGTCGACGATGAGCGCAAACTCGACACAACTGCCGGAAAGGCCAAAGCAAGAAGCTGAGACAGATGCCGGCTCTCAAGAATGGTCACCAGCTTGTAAGAGGGACCATGGACGCTCATGCTGCCGTACTAACGATTACAGCCTGGAGGTCAAAGCCCATCAAGCAAGTCGTCACATATGAAGATCAAGCAGCAGTATCTTCTGCGCTGACCAAGCTATCGAGTCTGCCACCAATCGTTACACCAACAGAGATCGCGCGACTCAAGGCCAGTCTCCGCGATGCTGCACTTGGAAAGTCGTTCCTGTTGCAAGGAGGCGACTGCGCCGAGTTGTTCTCTTACTGCGCGGACAACCCCATCGATGCAAAGATCAAGCTTCTGCTGCAAATGAGTTTGGTACTGATTTGGGGTTCAAACAAGCCCGTCATTCGCATTGGCCGTATAGCCGGACAGTATGCTAAGCCCAGATCGAGCCCGACTGAGATGCTGAACGGCAAGGAGGTTCCCAGCTTCCGCGGCGATATCCTCAATGGATACGATCCTGACGCTCGAAGGGTTGACCCTGAGAGGCTGGTCAGTGCCTACTTCCATTCGGCGACGACACTGAACTACATCCGTGGACAGCTAGCAAGTGGTATTGCTGATCTGCACAATCCTCTGGACTGGGAATTGGGTCACGTTCGGGACGAGGAACTACAAACCAAGTACTCGAAAATCGTCCACAGCATCTCTGACTCGTTGCGCTTCATGAAGACTATTGGGGCGGACACATCAGGTCAGCTGCAGACAGTAGACCTGTTCACCAGCCACGAAGGTCTCGTTCTGGAGTACGAGCAGAGCTTGACACGGAGACTCAAGCACCCTTCAGGCTACAAGCCTTCCCAGGCCTCAAATGACGGCAAGGGCTGGTACAATACGTCTGCTCATTTCATCTGGATCGGAGACCGAACTCGTCAAATCGACGGAGGTCACGTTGAGTACTTCCGCGGTATTGAGAACCCTATTGGTATCAAGGTTGGTCCTTCCATGAAGAACGACGAGCTCGTAGAACTACTCGACATCGTCAACCCGAACAAGGAGATTGGCAAGATTACATTGATCACGCGATATGGTGCGGACAAGGTTGAGTCGATGCTTGGAGCGCACATCGAAGCTGTCAAGAGCAGCGGACACGTTGTAGTGTGGCAGTGCGATCCCATGCACGGGTAAGTCGTCTTGGTACGCAATCTTTCATCCACTAATGTGTCGATAGCAACACGCGCAGCACGCCTACTGGCATCAAGACCCGCTCTTTCAACAGCATCTTCTCTGAGCTCTCATCAGCACTCAAGATTCACAAGCAGCACGGGTCCTTCCTCGGTGGCATGCACCTGGAACTCACCGGCGATGCAGTTACGGAATGCACTGGCGGAAGTGAAGGACTTGTGGACGAGGATCTAAGCCTGAACTATACCACATACTGCGATCCCAGGTTGAACGAGAAGCAGGCGTTGGAGTTGGCATTCCTGGTCGCAGGACACTACCGTGCCGACGAAAAGCTCCTATAGGCCAGAATAGCCCTTGGTAGATTAAGCATGTCACGATGTGTTTGAAAATGAAATTACGATTCGTTGCAGCCTTCGCAAGCATCGCCCAAAGTAGTAAACCCTTTTCATGACGCGGGAGATCTCCACTACATCATCAAAGTGGTCCAAGCTTCACAAAGTCCCATACGTGCATCTTATCTGCCCCCCCCCGTTATCACCACGCATCTCAACATTCTGCAACTACCCCACACTCGACGTATTCCCAACAGAGATAATGGGCTCTTCGGCTTCCAAAGGCGCAAAGGCGGCTGGCTCTGCTGCTCGTAAATACCCTACCAGAGCCCCTACAAATACTACAACACGGGCTCCCGCGCCTTCCGCACCCGCACAGGATCCTATAAAGGGACCGACTGTCCATCCCGAGGTGCAGGCTACTGGAGAGAAGACCGAGGGTATGTATCCACACGCTTTCAGCACATGGGGACACGAAACTGATTTCTAGTTTAGCTGTTTTACAAGATGCCCGCGACCCTGCCTTTGCATCTCGCCTGAGCAGTCTGGGTGCTGTCCAACCGAATCCTCATTTCTCGCCTTCGTCTGCCTCGCAATTCGACCCTCGCCGCAATACCTCGCCGAATCTTCCCTCCGATACGATGATGCAATCGCCACCGCAGTCTGCGTTCCCCGACCCGCGCAATAACCCTGTACTCCGGGTACTGGAGGCGAGACAACGGATAGCAGACCAGGCAGAAGATGAGTTGCGAGACGTTGGTAGAAGAGGGTTCCAGGGAAGAACGTATGTGGATGCTGGTGTCATAACGTTGGCGATGATGAGACGAAGCAAGGGAGAGCCCGATGCGAGGATTGAAGACGCATTGGGAATCAAGAGGGGGAGACTGAGTGTGCTGGGCAAAGGCACGGTGGAGGCCGTAGCCTTGGGTTGAGCGGGCGATATGAAAGACGTCACAACACACGACATATCTGAAGGCGAATTGAGCGGCACCGAATGGCCAGTCGAGATCGAATTCGACCCGCAAAAGAGCGTACATATGTACATACGAAACGAGAACGAAAGAAGACTGTCAACACCAAGCTCAACCCTCCCAACCGATGCAATGCGTTACCAAGTCGTTACCCAAACGCCAAACCAACACCGGAACAAATGCAGGAAACTACCAATTTTGTGCGCCATCATGATTCGTCGTGGTCGGCGTTCTCGTGGATGAAGTTGTTCATCGCCATCAGCGCCTCTTTCAGACACTCTTGGTCAACCTCGAGGCCGTCGCGCAACATTTCGTCGTAGCCGATGCGGACGACACCGCCGGTGCCCATACGCGCCCGCTTCTGGTTCCATCTCCGAGCGACTTCCCATCGCTTACGGGTTTGTGTGAAGGGCGGGCATGAATCGGCAATCTCCCTGCTTTCGCGCAGGACCGTGAGGGCGTTGAGGACGTTGAGGAATATACTATACGCGACAGTCAGTAATCACTTCATACAACGCAAACACGTTTCGCTCGACAACGTACCCTTGTGTAAGCTCTAGGTCATGATCCCATCCATACGCCACGGTACTGAAGCTGTTCCCCTGTGCCACGATATCCAAGAATATGAACAACGACTCTTCCACACTTATGTCGGTAGTAATGGTTGATGCGACATTTGCGAGGATCCAGTCGGAGAGTTCGAAGAAAGTCTTCTGGTCCATGTGCGCGAAGCCGACGAAGCGCTCCGGAACGGTGAACATGAGCGACATGGCACGTCGCGCACCCATGGCCTCTATACAATCCATTTGGTCGGGGAGATGTGAAGTGCGTCGAGAAAGACCGAGACGTGTGGTTGAAAGTGGATGTGGTGATGTGCCGGCAGCGTGCCCAGATGGTTGGTTGGTTGGTGGGTGGGTGATGGAAAGCGGAGTCGGGAAGACGTCAGGTGAGAAATGAGGAGTAAGGCTGAGAATGGATGATGAACAGATCCAGCTGCATGCAACACTGCGGATACCGGCAAGGGAGAATACCCAATTCCAACAACACAAACCCCTTGATTACTGCAGTTAATTCTTCCGCGGAACAATTCAGACAAAAGTGACGAGCGAGTCTAGACACGCCTCAGGAGAACGGACAGACAAGGTGAGGTTTGGCAGAATGGGCTTGCTACCGACGTTTGCTCCAAGCTTTTGTTACGCAGGCCAGCTGAAGGGCAAGTGAAGCGCGCCATCATTTGCGCGAGTTGGACAGTGGGGCCGTTGTCCGTGTTGCAGCACCTACCTGGGTCCTGCTGATGCGTGAAGCGTCGTCGTCTGACATGTGAAAGTGGGTGCACGCTCCAGCCGCGTACAATGACATCAGCATCCAATCACACGGGGTGGATCCAGACCTCGTTGCGGCATGCGCGACGCCGGAGATGAACGTCTCCGTGGGCTCTTGTTCCGCCGTCTTGCTTCTTTCATTTCACGTGGATAGTAGTATTGCATCCTCCTTGTACGTATGTACTGCTCCTCTCGCGCAGCAGACGGGACGCGCGCCGAACTACACACCACGCACACCACAGCTTGAATCCGCGGCGTGGGCGCGAAGGTTGGCCGAGCGTGTGGCTAGTGCAGCAACGAGTGGGTGGAGCACCGGTTGCGGAGCAAAGAGGCTAAATGTAGCAGGTGCGTTCCCTTTCTGGTGCAAGCTTGGCCCGCGTCTGTGTCTCGGGTATTTTCGTCGCTTCCCATGTTCGGCTTCAGATGCGCATCGGAGCCAAGGGGGGGTGGGTAAAAAAGAAAGACGTTTTGTTGACGTAGGTATTGTTCTTTCCGTTCAACGACGGTGATGTATGTCATGGGCTGGGCTATGGGCGAAGACGCGCCTTGCGATGTATCAGGTTCAAGACACTGCCCAGCCCTGGAGATGATGCAGGTGGTGGAGCTCCCACGTGACGTTCATTTATGTCTTTACCCGCCTCTTCTTTGCACCGGGCTTAAGCAGGTGCGACACCACACACACCCTCTCTCTCTCTCTTTCAATCACTGCATCTCCGCTGCATAGCAAGTCCTACAAGATCCATCTCACCCATGACATCTCGCCGTTTCCACGCGTTCCTGTCGCATCTCGCCCATCTCAACTACTAGCCAGGCCTTCCCCGCCCCACTCTAAACCTTAAACGCATCGGCTGTCTACAGACATACCTGTAGCACATCTCGTGCGTGGGTGCAGCGATCCGCACCGGAAGAGGCGCACGCACAGCATGGGGCGTTTGGTAAACCGAGTATGCTGAATGCCAAATTGCCATACCCCGAGTAGATAGGAGGAGTTGCGCACAGTGCATCGCGATCTCAACAGAACAGTTATGCAGGCACATACCTACTCATCGTAGAAATATTGATTAAAACCAACGGTTTTGCTTGTTCCCGCTGAGCTTACTTACCTATCACGCCTGTGCGTCAATCCCACGTCTGGATGACACCTCCAGTCTCCGGTGCTTATTCCCCCTCTTTCCCGCTACCTAAGCGTTCGATTCGATAGTCTCGGTCTCGAACGAATGTCGTTTGCTTTTCCCCGCTGTTGCAGATCGCTGGGTGTGGTTGCACTAGGAGTTGAATGGTAAGCACGCCGGTACTGGCTTGCAGCCTTTTCGCGGGTCGCGTCCCGGAGGTTGGTGCGGCCGTTGGGTGGTCTGGCAGCTCTGGACTAGGGCGGCGGTTTGGTACGGGGTGGGAGAGGGGGTGGTTTTGGTGTTGCGGGGATGCACGAGTCTGTTGTGATGCTGAAAGGAACGTCGCAGCTGCTTGCGCAGTGGCAAGGGTGACTAAGTAGGTTATGCAACTTCCATCGTTGAGGGTGCCGACATGTCTTGCGCATTTGGACTGGAAACTTCACAGGCAAATGAAACTCTTCTGTAGCAATATCTTGCTTGAAGCAATATAGAATGGGGTATTAAACACAAAAATGAACACCAAACAGACATCCCACTCACATCGTCCCTCTGATCCTTCTACCAATGTACAATCTCAGCTACTGGCGCAGAGGTCTCACTCATCATCGCTGTTAGCAATAATGGGTCGTTTTCTCTTCCTGCCAGCACCTGGTCGTGCACCACCCATCTTCGACTTCTTCTGTTTGGCCGCCTGCTTAACCGCCTGCTTAACCGCCTGCTTGACCGCAACCACCGGCGCCACATCCGACGCCCTCCTACGCGGTCGACCCGGCCCACGACGAGACCTCGTAGATCGACCGGGCGGTTCATCATCCTCGGAGGCCGGCTCAGCCACATCTTGCTCTTCGTCTTCTTGGGTATCTGGCAAGATGAACTCATCGTCTTCCGCCTCCGTGTCCTGGACGTACAGACTAGTCTGAGTGCTCTGCGACTCAATGACAGGGGGGATTTCGGGGATTTCGGGGTCGCTTGCCTCTACATCCATGCCCGTATCTGAACCTGTGGACTCGTTCCTATTGAGCCCTCCGCGCTTGGACTTTCGCACTGCCTTGCGTCCGGGTTTGCTCGTAGCTGCCTTTCGTGCTTGAAGTGTTCCAGAGCGCCTTCGTGTGGCTGGCTCCACGCCGCCCTCTTGCAGCATGGCCTCTTTCCGCTTCGCGGCTTTTGCCTCTCTGGCTTTTGCTGTGGCGGCAAGGATACGTGAGCGATCCTCGATAGGCTGGCTCAGACTGGTGAGTGACTCCCTTTTCTTCGTCTTTTGCTTGGTCTGTTTGACCGCGACGATCTTGGCATTCGGCTGTTTGAATTGCTCTGTTTTCTCCTTGGGATAGTTGTAGTTGAAGAACAGTTCGGTGCCTGCCTTGATGTCTCTGGTGGCGAAGAGCGCGATGCGAAAGACTGTGTTGCAGAGCAAGTTCTTGGGGCCGCAGTTCGTGTACTTGTCGTCGGCATTGTTGATGAAGCGTAGTTTATTACCCATGTATGTCGCATCAACTTCTTGCTCTGCATGTTGGTGTTAGCAATCCGGTTCGCGTAAAAGCAACATAGAAACTCACTCGAGTTTAGACGAAACAGATACATCGTCTTCTGGTAGTCGTATATCGTGACTCGGCGATCGCCTTCCTTAACCGAGATGGCCTCGCCAGTATATTCACCAATATACTCGCCACTCTTGATGTCCTCGCCCATATAGAGTCCAAAGCCATGCACTTCCGAATGGCCGAGCAATGTTTTCCGAGGAACACCCCGCTGTATCGCAACATTACAGCAGGTGCGTTGGACTACTTCATCGTTATAACGATTCACCGGGTCAAGGACTTCAGATGCTCCGCAAGAGCCACAAAGGTCTGCATCGCACTCTCGGTTGAATTTGACGCAGAGACATGTCTGTGTAAGACACACGCGCTTCCCTGACGCTGTTGCACAACTGCAACCAGGATAACGTCGATTGCAAGAGTGAGAGCACTTGCATGTTTTCTCACAATTAATGCCTTCTCTAAAGCACCGGCATTTCGCGTTCTCGCAGCTGCCTTCGTGCTTGCATGGGAAAAAAGGCTTCCTCTTCTCCCAATGTTGCGTTGTATCCTGGTTCAGCCACCAAGTGCTATTAAACTTACCAGGTGGCGGTTTCGCACCTTTGGGAGTAATCATCTCCGTCTCTGAACAATACTCGAAAGCGCTTGGGTTTGCAGGGAGCTTATAGTTTATGACCTTCTCAATGTCGGAGTCGGAGTCGAAATGTGCGGGCAAGGGGTCGCCGGGTTCGTTCTCATCGTCGGTGTCGTCTCTGCTAAAGTTCGACACACGGCGCGAAGTTTTGTTGTTGGAGCCTCGACGACTGGTAACATCAGTCGCCTGTGTAGCGCGTTCTTCGTCTTCCGAGTCCGTCTTCCAGGAATCCTCAGGTACTTGTCTGATCTCGCCATGAAGAAGGCAATCGTGTCTGTCAAGAAGGTCAGGATTTCGGCATCAAAATTCACGCATTGGTACTTACTGATGGCATACTCTGCACATGATCTTTTTGTACGTTGAGTGCTTGGAAGACTGCTCATGTGCAGACTTCTTCCGTATGAGACTCTGTACAGCTTTGGACTCTTGAGCCAGGTACCAGATGCTGAAATCACATTCTTTGAATACCGCTGCAGAAGCTGTTGCCGCAAGTCTCAGAGCACTCGGGATCGGCTCTTCAAGCTGTGCGACGAACTCTTCCCACTTTTTGTTTTTCCGGTCAAACAGAATAGCCTTCTTCGGCTCACCGTCTCTCTCAAACTCCTCAATGTGATATCGTGATCTTTCGAGGAGCTGTGCTTCAAACTGCTTGCTTCCATTCAAAGAGTCGTTGATTCGTACAAGGTCTTCATCCTGGGCCAGTAACCAAAACAGGATATCGTTCCACGTGATGCCTATCTCAGACAAGAATGCTTCGATGGCTTTATCATAGAACCGGCACTGTTCCTTGCGGAAGTCTAGCGGCCCCTTCTCGTCATGCGTCATCTCGTACATATAAGGAAGCGTGTCCAGCAGAACCTCGCGACCACGGTAGTCTTCGTCCTGGAAATAGGGTGTTGCGAGTAATTTTGACTCATTGTCTTTAAGAACGTTGTTCCTCAGACTGACATACTCTTTGAAAGGAGGAATCTTTGGCGCATCACTCTTGTACTTTGTAGTGGGCACGGCTAAGCCTGACTTGACCACTGTGTCCTTGGGTTTGGCTTTGATGAATGTCTCCTGACTCATATCCACGAGGCGCTTGGCGTTGGCTCTGTCGAACGGCACTTGTATAGCACGCATGTTCTCAAAGGGGGAAGTCTTCTGGATGTACTTTTCGGGTAGGATGGGCTGTTGTGGACGCTTCTGCTTACGGGACCGGGCGCGTAGGTCTTGTTCTTGAAATGTTCTCTGATTCCGCATCTTCGTCTCCATCAGGTATGCATGTAATTCATGTCGTTCCGCCACATGACGTTTCAAACACGCTTCTACAGCTGAGCGTGTAGTGACGAGCACATCCGCTTGCAGTGAGAGCTTCTTGCTTGTCCTACCACCATCGTTCTCGACAGGCACCCGAAGGTGTTCGGGTTGGATGGTTGGATGAGTACTGACGATTGTTGCCGGAGCTGGTACGTCTGGAATCATAATTTCGGGAACTGGCAATGGCGCCTCAGAGGGCCGGATCGGCTCTGCTGATGCTTCGACAGGACGCAGGGCAGTAGGGGTGGCAGAACGGGACAGTAAAGGTGTCGAGCTAATGGCACGCCCCGGTGCAGGTTCGCCAGCCTCATCGTGAGGTGGCGGTGGCGGCGATTGTGTCGGCGTTGTGCTGCGTTCCACAGGACTGGCAGCCCTGACGGATTCTTCCTCCGTCTGCGCAGGCGCGCTATCAGCAATGATACTAGTATCTATCGTTGGAGTTTTGCTTTGGCTACGACGTGTTACCACAGGCGACCCGGACCTCGACTTACTCGAGCCCAGGTCGAGAGGCTTGAAGGATAAGTTTGTTACGTCCCGATGATCAGTCGCAGACTGACGCGGTGGTCTGACAGGCAGCTGTGAACCCGAGAACCCATCATCTCTTCGTCTTACTGACTTGATGGCTTTCTGTTTCTGCGGCAGTCTTTGTATTGCTGAAAGGCTTGGCTCGGGCGACTTATTAGGCAAAGGGATAGTCATGCTGCCGCTATCATCATCCGGTGTTGCGTCGTCCGACTCCGGAATTGTATCTCCGCGACTTGAAGAGGCTTGTTCAGGTGGAGTCTCGGAGACGTTACTGGTTGGCTGAGCCGATGGATCCACGGCATGGTCCAAGTCGGGTGCGGTACGGTCGGTTGAGGCTCCGAGGGCCGACGTCGCACGGTACGTAGGCTGAGGGGAAAGATTCTCATGTCCCAGGATCGCTTGAGTGGAAACGCTCGATTCTGTACTTGGTGTTGGTGCGGCTGACGGCGAGCGGTTCAGCGGCGTGACCTTGGAGACTCCCGCACTTGGTCCCGCTCCTTGTGTGACCGATGGTCGAGGCAGGTATCGTGGTTGATAGACTGGGTTTGCTGAAGGTCCCCTTGAAAGCTCCGCACTTGGTTCCGTAGCTTGCACCACTGATGAGCTGGGCACAAAGTGTGAGTGATGATTCGGCGTTGTCGAGGGCTCTGAAGGTCCCGAAAATGGCCCCGCTGTTCGTGCGACCGATGATAGAGGTGCATGATGTGAGTGATACGCCGGAGTTGCCAGAGATTCCATGGGGAGAGAAAAGATCCGACTCGTTCTCTTAGGAGACTCAGCAGGCTTAGCTCGCTCAGGAAGCACAGCTTCGTGACGAGTAGTAGGCAAAGGAATAAAACCCTGTGGTCCCTGAATTGGGCGCTGATTCACTCTAGTACTTGCGCCTGATTGTGTTGCTTGTCCGGATACTGGCGGTTCGTCTTCATCGATTGAAAGATCAACAATCTCAACAGACTTCGTGGATGACGACGTCCGGTCTCGCGGTTTGTTTGTGAGATTGCTGTCCTTCGTACTACTATCTCCTCCAGACGTATCATTGCTCATGTTTTTCCCGTGTCTTTGTTTCGTTTGTCTCCGTGCGGCGACTTCCTTCCATGCAGCTGCAGCTTGCTGCGCGTCGGAGATCTCCTCAAGCCCATCTTGGTCAAGCGTTTGGCGATGGCGCCGTCGCACTGTAGGCGCAGGTACATAACTAGGCGGATCGTCATCCAGAGTGAAGGGAGCGTCCAGAGACCCGTCAGGTTTCATTGTTGATCACGCTGATGCGGGCTTGCCGGCGCCAGTCGACAAATTTGCGCTCTTTCAATAAGGTCATGGGAGGCGGGTCCAGATAGAGATGGCAGAAACCGTGGTCATCTGTGGTACATATAAAGCGACGTTGAGTGAGTGAGATTGGGGATAGTGTTGTGCCGACTGTGAGGCTTGATAGGCAGGCTGTGCCCGTCGCGCTAAACATACGGCAACGCGTCGGCACGTGGCTTGTATTACCCCTGCATTTACCGAAGAGGCAGTGGCGACTATTTAGCCCCACTCGACGCGACCTCCCAGGTAGAATTGCCAACACAAAAGTCAGAGTCAAGGCTCAACGCTCTGCACAGTGGAAGAACAACGCGGGGTGTGCGACAGTAATTATAATGCATTAGCGAGGGGCTTCCCCTCCTGGCCTCAGCCCAGCTCGTCAAACAAACGACAACATCGTCGGTACATGATCTATCACAAAACAACCCAATCTGCCCTTGGACATCCGACATTGAGCGGGCTCCCGACGCCCCTTCCAAGAAACAGATATACACACAACTAACCTTGCGCAGTGCAACATGATTATGTCCAACCGAGTACGTAATAACTACAGCGGCGAGCGATATAGAAACGCCATCCCTAATGAAAATGCCCGTTCACGAGTGTATGAAACGCCCTTTGAGGTTCTTACAGTCGCAGTCTACCATTAACCCATCATCATGTCCTGATCCTAGCCAAGGAAGTTTTGCTGCTGTTGCTGTCCGGGCCGTGGAAAGACACTCGTTGTGGGTACTTGGTCCAGACTCATACCCCCCATTGTCCCTTGGCTACCTGTATTCTGCCAACCCTGCCCCGTTTGCTGGTTGACAAAAGCGCTCTGCCGGAAGGGATTGGTACTGCCTGTAGCGTTCACTGTAAGGCCACCTTGTGGAGATGCGGCACTTTGCGGCGAGGGCTGCCGTGCGAATGGATTCGTGCCGGTTGGTGTTGGCTGTAAAGGCTGCTGCTGCATTGGAGCAAATGGTGATTCTTGGATCGGTGACATGGAGTAAGGTGGAGAATTGATGGGCGATTGCGACTGCGAGAAACCGGTACTTTGTTTTGCGAATGGGTTCGTGGATGACCGATTGAGCGACCCAGTGCTGGTAGGGCTAGTGAGCATTTTGGGTTCGGCGCTGGGCAGCATCGACTGTCGGAATGGGTTTGTTGACGTTTGTTGTGGTTGTAGAGGTTCGGCAATTGTGGGAATCTGCATTTGCTGCTGTTGTGAATAATCAGGCATACCATTCTGTGGTATTGAAGGCATGGTATTCTGTACACCGAAAGGTTGAGGCGAATAGCCTCCAAAGCCTGCGCCTGTAAATTGTGACTGGAGCTGGGGTGCCTGCATCTGCGGCGCCTGTGGCTGCTGCATTTGGAACGGATTGGTGCTCTGGCCATTCTGCATAGCAAAGGGCTGTTGCTGCTGTTGAGGAAAGCCCGTCTGCTGTGGAACCTGGAAGCCTGTTTGTTGGGGATACTGCTGCATCATGGGCTGCGTGGCCATTGTCTGTTGGTTGTCCTCGAGCGATGCAAAGAGGTCAATCAAGGGTGCGCTGGAAGAGGGTTTCGAGGCTGCTGCTGGCTGTTGACTGCTCGTATTGTTTGAGGGTGCATTCGCTGTGGAAGGCTTCGTATCCAAGGGTTTGCTAGCGCCATTGGTAGGCTTGCCCCCGTTCTTCTTCGCCTCCTTCTCGGCGATGTACTGTCGTCGGTTGATCTCGAAGTCCTTGTCGTTGAGATATTCTTCCAGGGATGCTGCCAGACTGGTGGGAGCATGCTTGATCTTGGGGATTTCGAGCCTTGTCGAGTGTTCGTGTGCTCTTGCAAGACTAAGGTATTGGACGACAGCTTCAGTCTGCTTGACGAATGTGCGGTATACTGCCAGCGCGCGCGTTGCGTCTGGCTTTGACAGCTCGAAATAGTGCTCTACTTTATCAATACCCTGTAAACCAAGAAGACATGGTGGACTCACCGAGTATGTTGATGGTGCCCTCGTTCATAACATGGAAGAGCACCAGTAAATCCATCGTGAGTAATCGGAACGCTGTCATGGTAATCTCGTTTTCTGGTTCGTCGTCGAAGGGCTGGCACTTGAGCAGTGATCTGATCTGGTCCTGCACACTCTCGGCTTCACGAAGAAGGCCTTTTTCCACAGTCAGCCGCTTAAGCCGCCCCTCGCCGCCGCGCACGTAGTCGACCTTGGTGGCGCCATATTCGATCGCACGTCGTAGCAGGTATTCGGAATAGGTCCGGATGTTGTGGCCCTGGGTCTGTACTATTGCACGCAATGTTAGCGCCTGGTGTATGCCCTCTGTTGCAGTCCAAATGACATCCGTCTCAAGATACAGGGCATTGGGCGACCGGGTTGCTGCCCAATTCGTGCCCGTGTTGTAGCCACATCACCCTGGCTGGGCGGCCCGGAACTGAATCTCAAGACGTACCCTCTGTAAAATGGTTGATGGCCAGCTTTCGGTGTGGGTTCTGCGCCAGGTATTTAAGCGTGACCTCGGGCTCGCCTTCTCTTATCATGAGATGTACGATGATTAAGCTCTTGAATACGATGGTCCATGTCGAGTCGCGTAGTCGGTTCGTGAGGGCGCGGAAGATCTCAGCAACACCTGCCTCGCCGGCATGCGTCGCGACGAGGATGTGCTCGACATACTTGGATTTGGGTGCCGCAAGCTATACCGTGTGTCAGTCGACCGTGATGGCGCAAAGGGAGCAGCCGGAAGGAGCGAGGGCGCATAGCTACCTTGATCTTGGTGCCGCCCTTGACACTCTTCTCAAAGGAGCTGGCCATGAGTTGCTTCGGGTCCTGTCGCTCAGACAGGTGGCTGCCCGGTTGGGCCGCGGGCTCGGTGGTGCCGTATAGCCGTCGTGCTGGCGGTGGGTGCGGGTGTCGTGGCTGATTGTCGCAATGGCTCGGGCAGTGCTAGGAGAGCATTACGGCGCGGTGGAAGGATAGGAGACGTCGCGTTATCAATAGAGGAGAGGGTGGCCCGTAGATTGCAATCCGAGGAGCATGTCCGTTATTGGAGTGGACCGGGGTAGGAGGAGTGAAGCAGGGCGCATGGTGGAGCTTGCGCTTGCGTCGGGCTTGCTGCGAACGATGGATCGGCGGAGGAGCGTTATCGTGTCCCGCCCACGCTCCCCTCCCAAACACTGAAACTTTTCCCTCCACGCCGCCAAACACGCCGCCATGTCTGCCTCACCCCCACCCGAAGAGCGCGAGAAGGCCGACGCCGACGCCCGCGCAAAGGAGCAGGCCGAGCAGGCCGCCCTGCCCTACAAATGGGACCAGACCATCAAGGACCTCGACATCGCCATCACCATTGATGGCAAGTACAAGGGCAAGGACCTGGACGTCAAGATCACCCGCAACGCGCTCAAGGCTGGCATCAAGGGCCAGGAGCCTTTCATCGACGTTCGTCCTTGCTTGTTCCGCCCAGCAAAAGCATGTGCTAACGCTTTGTCCAGGGCGAGCTGCCTCATGCCATACGCGTTGACGACTCCACCTGGACACTGACCTCCGTCGGGTCCCAGAAAGAGATCTCCATCCACCTCGACAAAGTGAACCAGATGGAGTGGTGGGCCCACGTCGTCACCACCGCGCCCAAGATCGACACTTCCAAGATCCAGCCCGAGAACAGCAAGCTGGGCGACCTCGACGGAGAGACACGCGGCATGGTGGAGAAGATGATGTTTGACCAGAAGCAGAAGGAGCTAGGGAAGCCGACGAGCGACGAGCAGAAGAAGGCGGATATCCTGGAGCAGTTCAAGAAGCAGCACCCTGAGATGGACTTTTCAAATGCGAAAATGGGATGAGGACGATGATCCCTGGAGATGAAGATTTATACCCCAAGAAAAGGTCGTCAAGCAGATAGGCCAAAAGAGATATTACACGAGTTATTAGCATGCTTTCAGTTCGGTTTCTTGCATGACTTTGCCTTCGTGCCGAGAATGACATTCATGAACTACCTCAACACTACCCTCCTCACGTAACACCCCTCTCCCTACTCCCCTCATCGTCCCTCCCCGTACTCCCCTCCACGACCGGCGCCTCCACAACCAGCAACCCCTCGCCCTCCCCACCAAGCTGCGGCAGATTCTGATTCTGACTCGCCCGCCTCGTATGCGCACTCAGATTCAAACTCGGCTGTCTCTGCCTGCGTTTGGGCAACGGCGGCGGCGGCGTCGCGAGCTCACTCGCAGTATGCGCAGTACCAGCACTGCCAGCACTGCTTTTCCTCCGCCGCATCTCCCGAAACACATCTTCCCCATCGTCGTCATCTCCGCCACCTCCTGTCCTTGCGTCTTGATCTGGGAAGTGTGCGGCGGGCAAGAGGGAGGCTGTGCCTAGTGCTGTTTTCGGGCTGTCGATGAGATCTTCGACTGAGTGTTTGCTGGAGACGGCGGGGGAGCTGGGACCAGGGACGACGGGTTTGCGTTTCGTGAGATTCGCAAATGTGGAGGAGGCTGCGGCGGGGATGGCCCACGTTTGTCGTTTTTCGTTTTTGGGGTGCGGTAGAGGTGTGCCTGGCGGAGGGAGGGGTTGGCCTCTGCCCATGGGTTCCGAGTGGGATTTCGAGATGGAGGGATTAGAGTGGAGTTGCGGGCGGGGGTCCAGAGATGATGATGATGATGATGAGTCGTGATCTATGCTCGGGCCCTCGGATGTTGGTGGTCTGTTGGTGGTATTGGTGTTGGGCTTTGCGTTCTGCTTGGCTGCGAGCCAGTTCCTGGCTGCTGCTGTGGCAGAGTTGAGGGATTGGTTGATGGTCTGTTTCTTTGTCGCCATGTTGCTTGCTCCTGCTGCTGCTGCGGCGGCAGCAGCAATTTCCTGTGCAGATAGCTCCCTCGACTTGGTGCGTGAGTGATCCGTGTTCGGAACTGGTGCAGAGGCAATGCTCGCTGCATAAACCGAGGCAGCAGAAGTGTCTTCCGACGAGCTGTCTGATGATTCTGTCGTTTGGCGTGCGTTGCCAGGTCGCATTGGCGACTGCATCGGCGATGCGGCAGGAAGCGACTTGACACTTGTAGGCGTCATGGTGCGGTCGTTTGACATCTCAGCAGAAGCATTCGACGAGTCAATCTTCACTTGGGCCACGGATGATGACGACCGCATTGCGCGGGGCCTTATTGACGCCGAGGATGACTTGTGGTCCGTCGAAGTAGATACACCAGTACCAATTTCTTCTGAATCAACACTTGAGGCGATGGAGAAGTGCGCACTTGCCGCATCAGCCTTTTCATCAAGCTTCTCAGCGTCCGAGATCGCACTCTCCAGTGTGGCTTCGTCTTGCTTGATCTTGTCTGCATCTTCCTCATCGTCCTTTGCGCTATCCTCCCAGATTCCACCTCTTATGACCTGCGCAATAGTGTCGGTGAATGGCATGTCATCCCAGTTGGGCAACACCAATGTTTCGTTCACTACTTCCCGAATGCGATTCTCGATGGCCCTCAGAACAACGCCATATGTGATCTGACGCGAACTGACAATCGGCTCAAGCGAGAACTCCATCTTGGGGGGCGTCTCAAAGGTCATCCAGAGTCTATTGCTAGGCGGGGGCTTGACTCTTATGAGAATATGTCCATCAAGCCTCTTCAACACGGCAGCCAACACAAGTGTCACCTCGCGGGCTTTGAATCGAGTGCCCAGGTCGATTCGTACGGTAGCTGATATCTCGATGCGGAAGCTTCCCTTGTAGCTAACATCCGCCTCCACAACGAGATCGCCATCGACAGTCAGCTCTTTGAGCTTGGGGTTCGTGATGAAGGGCGGCGAGGTGCCCATGTCGACCTTGCGTAGCTGCACGCTGCTGATGATGGCAGGCTTAGGCACGCGGGCTATTTTCTTGTTGATCTTACTCGCGATAAAGTCTTTAATTTGCGAGGTCTTGTATAGAGCGAGAAACACCCTGCCAATTAGCGCATTGATCCAGCGAGTATGCAGGTTCTCCTCCGAAGCATGCAGTTGCTGGACTAGCTTGACGAGATCAGGTGTATCGAACTTGAGCGGAACGGACGACGAGCCTGTATCGGTGGGGTCTTTCTGGTTCTCTTGGGCGTGCAACATTGCGTGGTAGAAGTCCTCTTTCTCAGAGCAATTGTCTGAGAAGAGATAGAAGCCTTTCGCTTCGACATTGCTGTTGCTGTCCACCTGTTGAACCAGTCGAATGCCTGTATCTGTAAGCACTACGAAACCACGACGGGAGCTCGAGTCTCAGCATACAGTTCCTCTTGATCCAAAGCTCGCCCTCCGGTATGCGTTCTCCACCCCCATATATGTCTACCTTGTAATGTGCGAGCGATATGACATGGCGTACTTCGAGCTGATCTTCGTTGTCGTACAGCATAAGGTGGCCGAGACTGGTCTGTACTTAGTTTGACTTCATATACTTGAGATGTGTAGACATACCGCAGGACAACGTAGAAGACGTTCCGGGCCTTCTTGTTCTTCGCGTTTGATGCTTCTATCGTGGGACTCGCGTTCTTGTTCCTGTCAAAGATGCTCCTGTACATAGACTGGTACACACTCGGGCTCTCCACAGCTACTACAGCGCCGGCCGGCGTCGTTCGATCTGGAGGTTTGCCGTTCACGCCGCCTGGCACGTACTCTCGGCACACCGCAAAGTATCCAGCGCAGGCATCTGGCTCGTGAGTCCTTCCCTTCAGCTTCTCCAGTATCTCGTCATCTATCCCCACTCCGACTTGTACGTTGTCGTCGTTCTTTCCGTTTGCGGACGTGTCCGACTTCCTGCGCTGTTCTGGAGTTGCCCCGTCGCCTGCAGTGCTGATGTTGTGGTTGTCTTGTTCCGTGGCTCTGGTTCCCAAGTACCATGCGGCTACGAGTACAGCGGGCAGGAGCGTCAGCCCTCCGACGAGGTAGCCCCATAGGAATATCTTGAATACGGCTCCATACCCCCAGTCCCCACTCATCTTGGGTTACGTGTTATGCGGTGTTGTAGACCATCCCTCGCCATGTACATGTGCGTTGAGCGGATCGACGTTCGATTGTAGAAGGTGGTCGGTTCTGTATATGTGTCGGGGGCGCTTGGTTGAAGAGTAGTCGGTTGGCACGGCGCGTCGAAGCAAGTAATGTAGCGAGTGATGCTAGCGCTGGTCGAAGGGTCCGGGTGCCGGTCGTGTACGTCGCGCGAATGTTTGGTCGGAGAAATAAGGCAGTCAGGCGTCAGGCAGCGAGGTGTTCTCGAGTACTACTTGGCTTGGTCTTGGTCAGGGTCAGTGGCTCGACGCGAACTAGAGCTATGGTAGGGGCGGGGCCGGAGTTAACGCTCCACGTGTGAGGTGCACGTCGTTGATCGGCGCTAAAGCATTGTCCCGCGCTGCTATGACGGCATCTTCGACATTTCACAAACACGATTTTAAGAGAAGGGAATACATTCAAATTTAAAGAACTAGAGGTTTCTTCGAACTCGCCACCCTTTCACGATTGTATAAAGTAAGTGCTCTAGCTGAAAATGTATTTACGATGCGAAAGTAAACCGACGATTGCGGGAATCATCTCTTCTGACCCCATGCTCTGATCCGTGTACACACTATTTCTTGGATAACTGCTTATCGTCCAGCAGCCAAATATAAAACTTTCGCGTCCCCATCAGCATGGCTACTACGGAATCACAATCCTACAATCCAGACATTCCCTCGGACCCTGTTACCAAAACCACGGACACCATCCATGTCGAACTCACCCCGCACGACCTAGACTCCCTGTCCGCGACCAAATTCGTCCGATCCCCATCAGCAGGCGCAACAGTCTTATTCATAGGCACAACGCGCGACTCTTTCAACAATGAGCCTGTTTCGTCTTTAGCCTACACTTCCTACGCCCCTCTTGCCATCTCAACCCTGTTCAAGATCGCTACTTCTATCCTCACAAAACACGCATGCACCAAGATCGCCATCATTCACAAGCTGGGTGAATGCCCGATTGGAGAAGAGAGTATTGTTATTGCGGTTTCAGCGCCACATCGACAGGCAGCATGGAGAGCGGGCGAGGAGGCATTGGAAGAGACAAAGGACAAAGCCGAGATATGGAAGCTAGAGAGATTTGAAGGTGGGGAGGGAGTTTGGAGGGCGAATAGGGATGGGCAGAAAGGTGTGAAGGTAGAGGATGGCGCGAAGTAGGGGTGGAGAGAACGCCAAAGTAAACGAGGATTTGCAAGATGGTCGCCGGATGTGGAAGTTTGCTGAGCTCCCGGGTTCCTCGACGTAGATATACTGCAGTGTGACATGCTGAACGGTATATGTCCAGTTCGTGACATAAGACTGATTTTGGGGACCAACTTTGAGGCGCAGCACGTTTAGTGCCAAGGCTATGAAGCGCAGTGGAAAGTGGGCTTTGTAAGCTTATGCTGCGTATGTAGAGTAAAAACGCCTTGCATAAAGTACTATTGTACTATTCCTCATTTCGAGCTTACGACGTATGTCGTGAAGGTGAGTATGATTAAGTCGCTGGCTGTATATGCCGCATTGGGACGTCCCTAGATATTTGCACTTGTATCTTTGTTTGCAGCTACATTGCTGATTCCATCTAGTCTAGAAGAGATGCCATTGGCAGAAGCATTCTAACCACTAGTGCGGCTCTGAACATCAACGTGATGTCACATCATGCTGCATCTAGATAGTATGTGTCCCAACACCGTGTTGTAGCTGCCCATCACAACCCGTTTTTGGCTGAGACATGATTGAGACTGGACATTGTCGCGGTGAGACGCCGATCATAGACATTGCACTCAGCTTATGTTGTGGGACCCTTCCGGTAGCCGTTCCAACTAACTTTGGAACGTACCGGAAAGCATAGCGAACTAGTTCGATGCTCGAGGCTTCCCCCAGAATTGTCAACCGCGTGCCTCTGATGCAATCGATCGGAGGACAACGCCGTCGTTCTCAACATTCTGATGAGGCGTTCTGCACATGGTGCATTAGCATCAGGTAGCCTACATAATCTACGACACGTCGACAGTGTTGAGGGTCTCGACTTGACATAGAGGCGGGGTTGTACCAGTGGGCGCAGAATGATGTGCCTCGATTGCAAATGTCGCTCCGATGAGGCACTCCGAGCGCGCCGTGCTTGTGCTACCATGCGCAGCTACTAGGCACTCAGCCTTCCTGTTGTATACACTAATCTTACAGTCGTACTTGTACACGTTAACGGTCGTTATTGGTTCTTGTCAGAACCGTCCTTCTCGTCCTCCTCTATTATTCGCATCTGGCCGGATGCTGCTATCATCTCGCTGATGGTATTCGGTACATCATCCTCGGACTGGTATATCCGGTCGTAGTTCAAGCGGCCTCGTAGAACTGCGCGAGCTTCTCTCAGATTGGCAATATCAAAGGTCCACATTGCGCCACCCAGCGCCATGATGCCAACACTGGCGCAGTTCATCGTGGCCAAGTTCAAGGCCTGGCAGGCATCTGAGAAGGGACTGAAGTATTCGTGCGGGTTCGTGTTCGCTTCGTAAAACTTTGGCATGACACGGAGCTGCCGCCTCCATACGGCCTTGCGCGTTATTGCGGTCGAGGCCAGTAAGCTGGCACTTCCGAGGAAGTATATCGAAAGCTGGCGTAATGATCGTGAAGACGTAATGGGCGTTCCTTCGTATGTGCTTTCAGCCGGCCGTGGAGGGGGGTTGACCGGCGCTGCCGTTGGACGGGACATCATTCGCAAGATCGGAATCTTCTAAGCAGCTTCCATAAACCTCTCGAGCCGTACTGCAAGTATTCTGGGGTAATCTGTCGGGTGACTGCAGGACTAGCGTTGCATGCCGAATTCGTTGCGGACGTTGCGGACCCCCGAGCGTGTCTCTGCTGACAGAGGAGGGGAACTTGGGCTTGCCGAGAGTCGCACAGTCGAGGCGGCGTCGTGGAAATACCCGGAGCGAGTGTGTTATTAGCCAAAGGCGTGGCGTGAGAAGGGAATGGCCGGGCAGACATCTTCGTCAGCCCGTCACAGAAAAGTTGCGATGCAAGCCGGCGTCGGTGGGTCTCGGGCCGTGCGCCCAGATTCCCCACAATGGCTGAACCCCTCTTCACCCACCGCATCAATGCCCTGTCATGTACAAACAAGCTTTCGCCATGCCAAAGTGCTCGATCAGACGCGCATATTGCGAATGACGCCTTCAAGCAAGAGCTGCTGATTGCTCCAGCCGCACCTCCCTCGTATTGCCCATCTTTCCCCTCACTAAAACCGGGCGAGAAGAAGATTCGATATCAACCTGCAGTATGCAGTGATCACCGTCAGGTACACCCGACGACTAACTATTAGTTCCCGACCAACACACTCAGCTTACGCTTCCCCGGCTTTTTTGCCACCTCAGATGTTTCCGGGTTCCTGGGACTCTTGCTTGGAACCACCAGGGTACCCGGTGGACAAACGTGCGTGACGTACAGCACGTTGATTCGACACGTGCTTCTGTGTAGAGGTCCTTGATGCACAGCTGAGTATCATGTCGTACTTCCAAGTCATGGAGATACTCGTCAACTACCCGAGTCGTTGGTACCAACGATTTACGTTTCGCGGTCATCCACTCCATGAGAGAAAGACACTTGCCAAGTGCACTTCCAATTCCCTTCTCCACACCAGAAGATCCGGTTGGCTCATGTTCTACTCCCCCACTCATCGCTTTACATGGCTTGCGTACACATACTAGATGCATTCCCTCCATTAGTCATTAGACTGGTGGACTCGTGGATACTGGTAGCGTGGCAACTGCATGCATGCATGCTTCCATGGGACGACTTGATCTGGACCCGCATCGACATGCTTGACCTATTTTTGTCATTTGATACTCTACCTGCTGTACTAGGCACGCGGTGTATCTTCTTCTAAGCCATCGTGCGAGATGTGCAAGGTACTACGGATCGCTTCGTCGATCATCCGGGCCACCAGAGAACGACTCTGCCTCGTTTCTCCGCACAGGATGACAACGATGTGTCGGTTATGTGTATGTTGAGAAGCTAGGCTCGAGTATAAAGTAACCCTATAATCGCGCTTTGAAAGCATCATCAGCCTTCACAGTCTGCAACAGTCTAGTTGATACTCTTTCGCTACAAGTCGAAATCTGTCGTCAATTGCGTTACTTTCACCCTCGATCACTCAAATCTTTAGCTCAAGATGCTCTTCAAGAATCTCTTCGCGCTCGCTGCTTCAGCTTCTCTCGCTGCTGCTTTCCCCGGTTACTCCGCAGTGCCTCCCAAGTCTTCTTCCAGCGCATACGTGCCTCCTCCAAAGACTTCGTCTGCACCTCCTCCCAAAGAGACAACAATCTGCACTCCGTGTAAGTGTTTACGTGTAGCGTCCTGTGATCTTGGATTGACTTTGCTCAGCCACATACGTCAGCTCTAGCGTCGGGGAGGGCAAGACCACCTATTTGTCTACCAAGACTGTGGTCATTCCTGTCACCACTGTTACTGAGAAGCTCTCGACCGTCACAGCACCCTACCCATACACCACTACCGGCACCAGTACCAAGACGGTCACACAGCTCACCACCTATCTGACTACCAAGACCTACTCGACTGTGACTACCATCTACAATACCAAGGTGGAGAGCGAAGTCAAGTCTGCTACCAAGGTTGAGACCGTGCCAGTTGTGTAAGTATACGAACGCGACTGCTCGGAGTGTTCTGTTGGCTGACACGCATATAGCTCCACCGGAACTTCCTACAAGACCAGCGTCTCCACTGCTAAGGAGACCATCACAAGCTCCAAGACTACCGGATCTGTCGTCACGGAGACTGCGAAGAAGCCGACCACGTACATTACAACTGGCACCACGACGGTCTGCACAACGTCCAAGGGCGGCTATGGCGACGGCTACTAAGCCTTGATCTTCCGCGCATGAAGGAAACTAGCACTGCAGCTAGCAGGACAGATGGAATCGACCGATTGCGACGCAAGCTCCAACTGCGGTACA